CCCCAAAACCCCAAAACCCCAAAACCCCAAAACCCCTTGTTAAATTATTGCGGTGGAATAAATTTAGGATGGCAAGATGGATCCTAGCTTAGAGCTCAAAAATTCATTTTATTTGATCTATTTCGTGCTCATGAGAGAATTTTAAGCTAAAATTTGTATTTTACGAGTAAAAATTGCTAATAAAGGCTTAGCCCTTGGTCCTACTGCCTAAATTTGGTAGCATACTCCTTGTCGAGGCCACCAAATTCTTCTGGAATGTTTTCTATTGGGATATACTCTTCTAAGGCTTCTGGAAGCTCTTTTTTCTTGAAGAACTTCACCTTTTCGACTGTCTTGGGGTACATAATCTTCTTTATGGCTCCCCAACTCCAGTCAACCCACCTATGCAAGACTGTTAAAAAAATAAATCAAGATAGAACAAGAATCTTAGGAAAATCTAAGATGATGACTTACCATGCAGAGTTTAGTACAATTATCTTATACATTCTTTCTGGGAATTGAGATCCTGTTTCCTTTGCAGCACCACTCATCTGGGAGAGATTGATGTTACCTAATCCTGCATCCTTAAGATCATATACGAGAATATAGTTATCTCAGTGCTTTGGCATTCTTCTGCTAACTTCCTTCATTGTCCATAACATGTAAAGCATAAGCTTTCTGTCACTATTTTTAGAGATTAAATGGTGAAATTGCTATCGTTGAGAGCTAAAGAATTGCATATGCTTTATTTCTTGAGGGAAGTTAATAATTTGCAGTGAAATCTCCCGTCTCAATAAATTAATCTTGCTATGATAAAACAAAAAAATTTCGAATTTTCTTATAAAATTTATCACCAAACTAATCAAAAGTAGTATGGGAATTCAGAAAAATCAAAATGTGGAATGGTAATCTTACTCTGTATCCTCTTTTGGCTTGCTGAGTCTCAGCCTCATATAGAGTACTGGTCTCCCGTATTTGTCGGCCTTGTGGGGAACAATACTTTCCCTATCGATATGAACTCTGAATTCATCTTCATCAAAGGTACGACTGATATTGTGCTTTTTATAGAACTGCACATTCTCTTGAAGCATTTTATAAGCAGCATCTTCATCAAATTCTCTGGCTGCTAGGAATCTAATGATTTTATTCTCGCTAAGAGAGATTCCTTCCTGCTCTAGCTTGTCTTTTACACTGTAGTAGGCTTCTTTTTGGTCATCATCGAGTCTCTCAACTATCCATTTGTGCCAGATTCCGTCTTGGTATCATAGCTTTCTCCATGACTGGTCATTTCCTTTGTTTTCTTCCTGAATTTCTTGCTTGATTTCTCCATTCTTTTCCTCCTCTATATGTCTGCTCTGAAGGTGTGTGTCTGTACATATTTTCTCTTCTTCAATAATCTCGTTGTGTTCTCCATTAGAATAAATCTCAGGTTCTATTAAGTTGCTCTTTTCCTCCTCATCTTCATATATATAACTCTCTTTGCTTGGTGATCCTTTGTATTTGCCGAAGTTAGGGTACTCGTAAGGCTCCAGGTACTCAATATCTTTAGTGTTTCTATGACCACTATGCCTTTTAACAGGTGTTCCGAAGGGGTTTTTCTCAGCCATATTTTCCTGAATCTTAACAAGATGTGTTTTCCTGTTTCTCATCATTGAAATATTCGCGTTTAATTCTCCCTTTGTATCATCATCAATGCCTACTTCTTCCACTTCAATCTGCTCAATTTCTACTTTAGGCTTCTTCTTTTTGAGAGACCTTTCAATCTGAGTAGAGATTGTAGACGATACAACTAGTTTAGGTCTATCTTGGATAAACTTCTCTTCACTAAGGAAGCTCTGTAAGTTCTTGATACTTTTAGCTAGCTCAATTCCAAACCTCTTTGTGAAGTAGTCAGAGAACATAGATTTACCCCCTTTGACAACTATTTTAGCTTGCAGGAAAGAAATTGCTTGACCTGGAAAGACCTCATTAGTGATCGTTACAAAGAAATCTGGAATCATGATTCAACTATTGATTGACTTGTAGAAGATCTGAACCTCCTTTTCTTTTTCTTGGCTTGAGATAAAAATGTCTACATCAAATTTATGAGGAACTAGTTTGAATAAATAAGACTTCATGCTCAGTTTTGCTATCTTTCCGTAAGGCTCTACTCCATATTTTTCATCAGAGTCTTCGCATCCAAGAACCCACTTCTTAAATTTCAAAGGATTAAGGAGATATTCGGTTGCATTTTTGCATGAGATATTAAGAGATGTTTGAGTTTTAAGACAGAATATTCCTGGACTAACTTCTCATCCCTGGATCATGCGTTCGTCCCAAACTTTCCAATTTGCTGATTCGTATTTTTCAACTTTCTCTAATAATGACATGTCTTTGCCTATAATAATGTTTAGAGTTTAGTAAGAAGGAAGCCGAGTGAACTGTGCAAATCACGAGAAGAGTACAACTAAACAATTACTCCCATATATAACTAGAAGCTCTTGTCTTTAACCATAAGTGATTATTAAGAAATTGTGTAATGGTTACTTTTGGCTCAAGGATTAATTCTAAAACCGTCTTATAACTAAAATTCTTTCAACCAAACTCAAATTTTAACAAAAAATGTACAGATTCTAGCAGGTAGTCCATCCATCATGATTCCAGCTCCAGCAATGGTGTGTCTCACCAAGAGGCCTAATAAGGAGTTGTAATTACCTTTTTCCATAACCTCCGTTTTAATTAAATTAATTCAACGTTATCTCTAAATTAGGGGTTTTGGGGTTTTGGGGTTTTGGGGGTTTGGGG